CCACAGTGTTTTCACCACAGTGTTTTCACCGCAGTGTTTTCACCACAGTGTTTTCAGTGTTTTCACCAGTGTTTTCACTGCAGTGTTCTCAGTGTTTTCACCACAGTGTTTTCACCACAGTGTTTTCACCGCAGTGTTTTCACCACAGTGTTTTCAGTGTTTTCACCAGTGTTTTCACCAGTGTTTTCACTGCAGTGTTCTCAGTGTTTTCACCACAGTGTTTTCACCACAGTGTTTTCACCGCAGTGTTTTCACCACAGTGTTTTCAGTGTTTTCACCACAGTGTTTTCAGTGTTTTCACTGCAGTGTTTTCAGTGTTTTCACCGCAGTGTCTTCACCATAGTGTTTTCACCACAGTGTTCTCAGTGTTTTCACCAGTGTTTCACCGCAGTGTTTTCACATCAGTGTTTTCACTACAGTGTTTTCACCGCAGTGTTTTCACCACAGTGTTTTCACAGCAGTTTTCACCACAGTGTTTTCACCACAGTGTTTTCACCACAGTGTTTTCACCGCAGTGTTCTCAGTGTTTTCACCAGTGTTTTCACCTAAGTGTTTTCATCATAGTGTTTTCACCACAGTGTTTTCACCACAGTATTTTCACCGCAGTGTTTTCAGTGTTTTCACCGCAGTGTTTTCACCAGTGTTTTCACCGCAGTGTTTTCACCAGTGTTTTCACCGCAGTGTTTTCACCTAAGTGTTTTCAGTGTTTTCACTGCAGTGTTTTCACCGCAGTGTTCTCAGTGTTTTCACCAGTGTTTTCACCTAAGTGTTTTCATCATAGTGTTTTCACCGCAGTGTTTTCAGTGTTTTCACCACAGTGTTTTCACATCAGTGTTTTCACCTAANTCATAGTGTTTTCACCGCAGTGTTTTCAGTGTTTTCACCACAGTGTTTTCACATCAGTGTTTTCACCTAAGTGTTTTCATCATAGTGTTTTCACCACAGTGTTTTCACTACAGTGTTTTCACCGCAGTGTTCTCAGTGCTTTCACCACAGTGTTTTCACCGCAGTGTTTTCACCGCAGTGTTTTCACCACAGTGTTTTCACCACAGTGTTTTCACCACAGTGTTTTCACCACAGTGTTCACCACAGTGTTTTCAATGCAGTGTTTGTTTTCACCACAATTTTCACCTCTGTTTTCACTGCAGTGTTTTCACTGCAGTGTTTTCACCGCAGTGTTGGGGATTTATATTTTAGAATCAAAGATGAGGCTGTCTCATTCAGCTGGCATGGCTCGGTTCAGGGTGGACTGGCACAATCTGGATCGGTCTGCCAGCTCCCTATGGAGTGCCYCTGTGGAACCCCAGTGTCAGAAGCTGCACGGCCAGCCCATGGCTCCTCACTGTGTTTCGTTCCCAGACCGGCTGCAGCTCCGATCAGTTTCATGAGGATTATTCTTGGAAACCAAAAAACGGTTGATAAACCAGTTGCCATCGTAGACCAGAAAATCCTCTCTATGTCTAATACATGCTCTGCRTGTCGCACCATTTATTAAGTCCTCCAATAAGGCTGAACTGTTCTTGTTGAAGGTATTTTTAGCACCACTTTATGCTTTCATATCCACTCATCTGACTGCGTACATGTGGACATATTGTTAATCATGTGTGTCTGGTGTGAACAATAAGAGTTTTTGTATCATTAACAGTTTCCCAAAATCACACTAAGTGTCGCCAATGTAACCAGAACCACAGGAACGAGCGCACGCCARCCATGATTTGGCATGTCGCTGAGCACATTTCCACTTTCATTTCACTCTTGATACATCTGAAGTTTTGCATGAAAAAAAAGGCAAACGCAATATTTTTGTGCGTAAGCACTGTTGATAAATGAGGTTATTTTCTGTACACTGTCAGCTYTGAAATGCAGCTTCTGTAGGCCATCTTGTCACTATTGGTGATAAGTGTAGGACAGTGATGCCATCAGCATACGTTACAAGCTTTACCGAGGGCTCAATAGAGTGAAGATCATTGGTGTTCAAGGTGAGCAGATTTGGAGATACAGTATCAGGAGAATCTAATCTAAGAATTGTATTCAATTCAAATTTTTAAATTATTTAAACCAAACATAAAATCTTTTGACAAAAAAAGAATACTTGAAATTACCTAAAAATTATAATCAGCAACTTCTAAAAACCCAGTGAAAAGAAAAAAAACTCTATTTTGTGTCACATTTCTAAAAAACTGTACCGGAGGCAGATTCTTGGTGTCCTCAGTGGCTGCTTTAACCCTGAGGAATATTATCTTTCAGTGATCCATTTAATTGCTTTTGACTACTCAATTTACTGCTTAGTTATGCTGTAATTATATAAAAAATTACATTCCAACGAGAAACAAAGTGTGCCATTGAAATAATTAAATACATTTTCTAATGTTAATTATATTTTTCTACCGTGACACAAWGCTCGAGCAGTTTAAGTACAAACTGGTGTGATTTTATTCCTCTTGCTCACCACAAGGTGGTGGAGTGAGACCAGGTTAAAAGCAACAGACTCTATGGTTATAAACAGACGACATTTTGTCACACACACACACACACACACACACACACACACACACACACACACACACA